AACGCTAACTTTTTAGCACATTAGCTAACGTTAGCTTCCATAGCAAAACAAACAAGTGTGGTCCTCCTTTGTAAGATTGGCTTCCTGTGACATCATCCATCCACTGAGTGAGAGCATACGGGTCGGCCAGTCTGGTCCCGTTGGTCAGTGTTTACTTATTCAGGTAACACTGGCGGTCACACTGTTTAGTTTGTAGGAGAGTGTATGTTTCTCAGAATTTGGAGAATGAATGAGTTGCCAAGCGATACACATTTCTCTTACCATCCAGCTGTGGATCACTCATCACTGCCCATGTTCGGAAAAGCAACCATGCAGCCATCTTGTTGAGGTCAGCTGTGCAGACAGAAGCCATGGATCACCAGAACCATCCGGAAACATGGACAATTATAAAGCAGCAGCCAACAATGTAAGAAGACACATTAAAAGGACTATATTACAGTGCACAAGTGAAAAGCAATGGTGGGATCACACTTCAGTTTACCAGAGTTGTACCTTGTATAATTTCATGTGAGTTAAAAAATATATTACAATAATCTCATAATAACAACACTGTCTTGGTGCCTCTTCCTACTTTTCACTCCTTTAAGTGAAGCTTTTAAACAAGTTTCCTGTTATGGTAAGTTGAACTGCAGCACCACAGAAGAACACTTATAAAAACTCAGAAATACATAATGACTGCATATCATTATATTTTTCTCTGCATTGCATTTACCAAAAAACAATCCGGTGAGTTCACATCTTAAAACACAGGTGAAGTATTTTATCTAGTTAGTCAGAAACCAGCCGGATTAAATACTTAATCACACTAAAAAGAACACGCTGACATGTTGGAGCTTTTTGTCCCACTGGCAGCTCTGCACCCTTACAGCAACACCAAACATTAGAGTGCCATCTGGTGGTGACAAGACAATACTGCACTCACATCAGACAGCAGGTATGAACTACATTCCTGCTCAGGGTGCAGGGTTACAGGGCGGCTGGAGCCTATTCCAAAGGACATTGGGTGAGAGGTGGAGATGGACCCTCAAAAAACCTGAAATAAAAAGTATTTTTTTTAAATTCTAATTAATTAGTGCCACAATTAAGTTGAAACTGACTGAATAAATCAGTTGAAAGACTGAACTTTTTATTAAAGAAATAGTGGAAGCTCTTTGAGGGGTCTCTCACCCCTTAGGGACTGTTCGTTACTTATGAGGGGAAGGAAGTGGTGCAAAAAGGGGGAGGCATGTCAAATAATAATAATGAAAATAAACAACAACAAATAAATAAAAAAAACAAATATTAATATTAATAATAATGACAATAATAAGTACTGGGTAAGGACTTATGTTTTTTATTTTGGCTTAGGGGAGGGGCATACAAATTTAAATGGCTGTATTTTGTATTTATTTTACTGCCTATTTAAAAAAAGAAAAAAACATGCCTTCCAAGTTTTGGCAATGTAATCTTTTTTGCAATTTTTCAAGAAAACTTTCACAAGTTTGTACACCATTTATCACAACCAGAAACTGTAAAATCAGAAAGTATCTTTGGATTTTTAGATTTCCGACAGTCCTTGGATGCATCGTGTGCGACAAATACAAAAAAAAGCCCATAATCACATCTGAGCTTAAAATAGTGACGTTTCATCAAAATCACTTCATTCTATGTTTCATTGAAAATTTGGCTGAAAATAAACTGTTTGCACAAACTAACCAGCACAACAAGAGAGAAAAACCGAGGCTTTGTCAACTCCAGGATTTGGTCTTGAACTTTTAACTTTCAAACATTAAAGGGTAAGTTTTAAAACTCAAACAACTAATTTATGGTGGAGGGAGGGTCATGCATTTTCTCTCAGTCACTCAGGGAGGCTGAAGGAGAAATATTTGTAACTTCAGCGAGGATCAAAACATAAATAAATAACTAAATTAAAAAAAAAAAATGAAGTCACACCCAGCCCCCTCTCCTCTGATGAGTAAAGAACAGTCCCTTAAAGGTGCAAAATTGTAGAGTTCACTACATGAGGATTCGTCTCTAAACGCAACCAAAGTGAGTGGCTCCTTGCGCTGCTGGAGAATCTACATACAGTCATGTCTTGACCCGGGAGAGGGAAACCAGGGTTCAAAAAAATAAAACAAAAAATAAAGTAAGGGGAAAGAAAGCAAACAAACAAATCAAAAGGTGCACGAGAGAGACATGGATCGAAAAGGACGGCCCAAGATTTGGTGTTACACCCCTGGGTGGGGTTCACCCTGGACAGGTCACCAGACTATCACACATAGAGACAGACAACCATTCACACTCACATTCACACCTACGGACAATTTAGAGTCACCAATTAACCTGCATGTCTTTGGACTGTGGGAGGAAGCTGGAGCACCTGGAGGAAACCCACTCTGACACAGGGAGAACATGCAAACTCCACACAGGACAGAACAACAGACAGTCACAAATAAAAGAGCCAAAGTCAAACTTTTCTGTAGGTCAACTTGTCTATTTAATATATAAAATACGGTAAAACATACGCAAAAAGGGGAGGCGGTAAGAGGGGACCAATGGATACTTTGGTACAATAACAAACACT